GGGGGAGGGGGGAGGGGGAGAAGGGAGCGCACACGAGCTTATGAAGTGGTTCGTTGCTGTTGCACATGTGGTGGAAAAAGTATTGACCACAGTTTTCTCTAGGGGAACACAGTTTATCAACACCCACGTGCGATGTGAAAAAATTCCGAGTTTCACCACTATCAAATACTAACTCTCTCTCAAGGAAGGTGGTGAGTCAATTTGATTCTGATAATATGTTGACCCCTGAGCGGGGTTCTTCTATTCATAATGCATAATGGTGCACTTGGAACGACTTTGACGCCAAGATAACAGAATATGTGACAGTGGTTGTACATGTAGTGGAACTCTGTTAATTCTCATTCTCTGAACCATTAGTAATCTTTTATGATTACCGTACAAATAACCAGGTAAATAAATAATGTGCAAAATATGACTGACCAAAACGAAAGTCGAATGCGTGGGCGCGTTCTGCAGACGGTTTGATTCCCTCCAAGACTTTAAACTCTGTGGCTGACCATGTTTCAGGTTTGACCCACGAGATATTAGGTGGAACAGGTGTGCCACATGTCAACATCTTGACAGTGTCATGGATCGGCGGTGCCGTATGGTGAATGGTATGCAGTAGGGGGACTACCATAAAGTGCCTCTGCTAGTCCAGAACCGAGAAGAGGTCATCGTAGAGAAGAACTTCGATATGTTCCCAATCTGGCACACCACAACTGTTGAGGAGGATGTCTCTAATGGAATAGACAAGTGTTGTTTCCAACGTTACTCATAAAGTTTCCCAAGCAGGCCCACCATAACAATTCAGGAAGATGTCTGTAGGTGGAGCGACACACGATATTACTAGTAATACTCATACAGTTTCGCAGCAAAGAAAACGGAGCACAACGTCGAACGGCATATCGTCACTGGCAAAAGCTGAGCCATTACATACGATCCCACCGAAAGGTTCACCGAGAACCAGTCAATCGTCTGCCGGTTCACCAGCAGCACTTCATTTATCAAAAGTCGAGCCACAGACATCTTCACCAAGGGCAACACCAAAAACAAGTGATTCCTCTTCTTCTTCACCGCCTGCTGATTCACCAGATGGGCCGGGAAAGTATACATCGATCGACCTCGTCGAAAATGACTTGCCGAAACTCCAAAGGTAATAATTTCTGATATCAGGCGACACTTCCTGAACGAAGAATGCTATCTTTTCCGTAAGCATTAGAAGCTGATAAGCTCATGGACCGATCAATTGCTGGGCAAAGAATTCCATTTTAGAGGGAAATGTCAAATCGCTTGTGGAAGTGTTCAAATATAAAACTAGTGAGAACGCGACTAACTGTTGGGCGATATAAAGTTCGTTCCCTACCTCTACAGGCTTGGCAAGGGGGCGTTGGAGGATATTCATAGACAGTTCCAACAGAAGAGGCCGTTGGATAGAACAACATATGTATGTAGATCTACATTTGCCTGATTGTTTCAACAGAAGGACTCATCAAAGAGGTGGTTCAAATTTTCACGACGGGGACCTTGGGAGAGGGGAGGGGGTAGAGGGAGGAGACAGGTTTATAAAAACTATGGTGGTCATTTTATTCAGTATCCTGGACCTCCCAACCCGCCAAAAATTAGTTTTTGAGGGTTGATTTTCTGCTGAGCGCGAGCTACCCAAATGGGTAGAAAATCGGGAATGTCTCGCTTCCAGATTGCATCTTGCACTTGCCTACTCATCTCGATCTTACCCCACTTACTGACGAGCAGGTGAAGAAGGGCAGCTCTCAGCAGAGTTGGTGGGACCTACTTGAGAAGATGGGGTTTAGAAGTCAGTTTTCCGAATTTTTTCTTACAATTGGTTTGTTAGGTTGGCTAATTACAGGACGCAGGTAAATTTGGATATCGAGGATCCCGTTAGAGCGAATTCTTCTCAAAACCACCCCCGTTCTTCAGAAGAAGTCCTGCACCAGTCTATTTCCGCCGGAAAGGTATATCAGTTCTACTACTACACGATTTCTGGAAAGATCGATAATAAAAAACTTACGAGTACGGTGACTTGCTACAAAAAAAGGAAGAAACGTGGTGATAACGAGGCGTCACCACTGTTCAAACAAAAGCAAAGATCAATCATTCAACCGTTGATCAAAAACAGGCCTGGCCATTCAAACTCGTAATCCCCTCGGGGTGAGTCGAGTAGTATCATTTCTGTCTAGGAGTTCAAGAACACTGAATTGTTCGTGGCTTAGGTTTCCCCAGTCATTATAGGCCGAATTCGAACTCAAAACTACTGCGATTTTGAATGGGAGTGGAGTGTGTGAGAGCATCCCAAAATGGGATTGATCAGCTGCAGATACAGAGCTTCTGTTCAACATCACCGTCGTCCACCATTGAACCACACGGGCGGAAACCTGGAAAGTTTCATTTTCCTGACAAGGAGACGAGTATGAGGATCTGTCTGGTATTCTTCGTAATCGTCTTCTTCATCATTCCAATCATGCTGATTTTTTTGTTTCGTGTCTCTCCTGCCTTCACAGAGTAATTCAGTCCATAAGTGTGAATCCGTCATTGACAATTGTACTGTATCTTTCTTATTATATCGGGAGTATTGTGATTCTACATTGGCAGAGCTTCATATTTGTACTTAAATTTTTCAACTTTCATCCCACTATCTCGGCATAAATTAAGACGGAGTGTTCATATGAAAACCAGTTTCCCAACGTCTCCATGGACGGGCAAGGGCCCTGGAATATGATATATATGATACGTCAAATAGTGTCCATATAGTCAGCGGATTCGGTGCGTTTAGACTAGCGTGCCCTGGTTTCATACTTGTAAAGTTATTAAGCATAGATCAGAAAGGGTTCCTGGGAAGCTCGTATAGCATGAAAGGAGGCGCCAACGTCAGTTTCGGTTCGGTCAACCGGTTTTTGGCTGGCAATCGATCAATACCCACGTTTTCTGCATCACATTGTGAGGTAATTCGCTAACTATGAACGCGGTCTGGATTTTTCGCGGACACGGGCTGCAGTCCATGCCGAATACAAACAAATTTGCGGATGGGTGAGTGTAAGAGTTTTTAATGTTTATGAAAAATATTTTAGGCCCGTTAAGCGTATCTCAGTTCCTTTTTCGTCTGTGTTTCATGAGTCACTTGGTACTTATGTAAATGTTACATACAAAGAAAAAGTAACCGGAACCTTCAACGCTGGAAGCGCAGTATCATAATTCTGCCTTTATTTAGGGTGGTAAGCGTTCTAAACAAATAGAAAATAAATAATCAGTAAATAACAATAAAGTCAGGCAAAAAAATGACTTTACCAATGAGTTTTTGTAAACAGTACCTAATAAATCTTTACTGTTAACCTCTTCAATTAATCTAGGTCTTTGGTAGTTTCCACGATTCGTAGGGACCTCGCCTATCTTCTAATAGGCACAGTTCACTTGAATATAATTTCTGCGATTTGTCCCTTTTACGAATTACTTCACATACTTCTACAACTGGTTTCGAGGTTGCGACTTGTGGTGATCAACCGATGTACAAGTCATTGCTTTTATACTCCCAGGCAAGTCTAGTACCAACTAACCGGCCCGGAGGGATGGAAGGGCTGGTTGGCCTTTGCAGACATAGCTCCGAGATTCGAACCCGTGATCTTGCGTGTGTGAAGGGCGCCACCTGCCACTACACCACCGCCTTAGTAGGAAACTTAGAAAAAAGCAATGTACTTCGTGCTACACGGACCGCATTTTAGTATGATGGGAATAGGCTCGAAAACGGTCCCTGGAGGATTTTCTTCGAATTTGAAGCCCTTGATTATTACAATATTTTGTCGTTTGAGTAAATATATTCTTGAACCATTTGTAGGGCCATGTGAAGTGATCAGATGTCTTTATTGCGGAGGCAAGAGGTGAGGTGTTATGTACTGATGCTTACATGAACCGTGATGTCGCATTCGTACCAATAAATGCTTGAAGATAAAGGGCACGCCTGCTAGTCTCCTCAAGTGGTGCGATAACAGGCCAGTGTAGCATTTAGCGTGCTATCGTCTATGACAAAAAATGATTTCAACCCAAGTTCGCTCCTACAGAATGTCGTCCAATGCCATCACCAACCATTACGCTGCCTTTCCGAGGGAGACGGGCGTTAGGAACGATTTTGGGTAGTCGATTTGCCGCACGCGGCTGTCGCAGACCACTCATTCGCCGTTATTACAGTTTTAGCGTTCTTCATACAGCTCAATCGATATGCGATCATTATTTTGTGCATAATTCTACTGTTAGTACTTTTGTTCTTGTATTTCTTACCTACCGCTGCATCCTGCTACATTCCTTCGCGCGCGATGCCCCTATCATCGCGACGCGACCATTTCGTTCCTAACGCACCACACCCCCTTTCCGATCAACATTCTCGTCAGCAGTTTGCAAGATCTGCGCTGTTATCCTGCCTTTCTGACGTTCTACACTCCCGTAATCGACAAGGGCCACTGATCAGCTCCTCCAGCCCTTGCAGTTTTCACGACTATTTCTTTGTGCTGAACAAATTTATTGTAGATAAGATCTCTCTTGGAATATATTACGGCCTGTTAACTTGAAACTAGTTCATTTCCGTTGAGGTGAATTTTTACAAAATAAACGGCCGCTATAAATGAATGCTATATATATAATGAATGCTATATAATAGCTATAGGCTTAGATGGGAAGTCTATTTGAGACATTGGACGTCGTCAGATATTGGTACATCGCCTTCCTCTTCGTCTTTTTGTTGATGCGTTAAATAATTAGTAATGAATCACTCGACGATTCCATTTCCTATCACGAAATTTCAGGTTCGCTTCGGCAAAAGTATTTTTTGCGAAATCGAACGTGAAACCAGCAAGAATAACGCAAATCAAGCAAATATCAGCCTCGTCTGTGGCAAGTAATATTGTGGAGGATATGTTTGAATATGAGGTGAAGAATGAAGCTGATGCATGCGATTTCTGGGATTGAATCGAAGTATGACATATACTCATGTGGCAATCCTCATCTCTCGGTATATCGAGATGCAAACTTTATTCGGGTCCGACAAAGGTTTTGGGACACAGAAACATACAGATATCTTACAAAACGAAAACAATCTTTGAGCGCTCTATTTGACCATTTCCACTGAGTTGTTGTCACCAGGATCTTGTAGTGTATTTCACATTTCCATTAACGTGTTCAGAGTCAAACTCACGATCACTCCCTTGCCACCAAACTAGCTGCATTACGTGATGACGGTCACCTTTGTGATGTGACTTTGATAGCCAAGGTAGGACATAACTAATGCGTCGATTCGGTGAACTTGAATGAGGGATTCACCAGGAATTTCGTATCAACGCACATCGAGTCGTACTCGCTGCTTACTCGGACTACTTCAAAGCCATGTTCACAAGTGAAATGATCGAATCTTGGCAGCGTACGTTCATAACTGGCGATGGGTGCTTCTACAGTCTCATCATGTTCTCCTTTCTAATGTCAGTTCTTAATTATTTCGCTTATCGACTTTTTTCAGCAGAAATAGAAATGGTCGACATCGAATGGGCAACGCTTGATGCTTTGGTTAATTTCTGCTATTCTGGTAAGATAAGGATCAGCGACGTCAACGTTCCGAGCACCCTCCACGCTGCCTGTCTGCTCCACTTGGACGAAATTAAGGTCTTCTATGTTCAAGACCTCGAAAAATGGCGATAATTTCTATAACCTAATGAACACCTAGGATGCCTGTTGTGAGTTTTTGAAGAATCAGTTACACCCGTCCAATTGCGGGGGAATTCGAGAATTTGCTGATAGCCACTCCTGCCAAGAGCTTGTTCGTTGTGCTGATGAATTCATCCTGAAGAATTTCCAGGTAGCCAGTTTCTGCTTTTGGCTCTCGTTCACAAATACTTTATTTTCATTCTTTCAGGACATTATTGATACTGAAGAGTTTCATCATCTTCCAATAAATCAAATGGTAAAGCTCCTTTCTAACCGTAAGCTCAATGCACCTTCTGAAGAGCAGGTAATGTACCAATTTCATTGTAGCCTTCAGCCTCTCTAGGGTATTTTTTGCGTATTTTTGTCCTCAAGTGTATTAACTACAAGTATGACCGCAGATTTTCACTGCAGTTCTTGAGTGGGTTGAGTTCGACTTGTCGTCTCGGAAACAGTTCCTCCCAGAGGTAAAAGCTGGACGCTTTTTCAAGTACAGACTTCTATTTAATGCTTGCAGCTGTTGGAGCTCATACAATTTCCTCTCTGTCGGCCGGAGTTTCTTGTCAATACAGTAAGTAAAAATGTGCTTGTGATGGGGGATGCCAGCTGCCGCAATTTCGTCGACCAAGCAAAGGTGAGAAGCTTTCTGTAGAAGGCTACTCGTAACAAACTAGTTTGCTAGATTTGTCAGGTGCTGCTATTCCTTATGTTTTCAACTGCTTTCAAGTATCTCAAGTTTTAGGATGACCTAGTTCTTCGATTCTCTGCCCTTGAATGTTCGAATATGAAAGGAAAATGCACTAAAACTTGTGGAGTGGCTGCTGAAGTAATTTATGTTGGTATGGAGCTTAACAAAAGTTTTGTGAATTTCTGTTTGTTTCATAGCCACGGAGGTAACAGTCCAACGGAGTTTATTTTCACCTTAACATATTCCTCATTGGCTATTTCTTGCTATACGCATCTGTGGAAAGTTGGTGCTCTCATTTTCACATATGCAGTTTCAGTGGGTGGAGTGGGTGAGAGAAGTGCAGAACGCCTGGATCTTGAAGGTGAGAATCGTGTTTGGCAGTACGTCGCTCCTTTAAAGCGGAGAAGGTACAACATTTCTCTAATATGTGCTTACCATCCCGAAAAGGCTAAATTACCTAAGGTGGGCGAGCGGCGTTGCTGTTGTTGGCAGGTTCGTTTACGCTGTGTGTGGCAATGATAGCATGCACCTTTTGAACAGCAGCGAGAGGTACTGTAATTTTTAATTGAATAGCAGACATCTTCAACTGAAAGCTGTTTTCTTGCAGTATAGGCTTCGAATCAGTCTTGGGTCTGTGTGAGCCCGATATTTCACGAAAAATAAATAGGATCAGTCAAAATTCTGCTATTACCTAAACTATTACAAGCAAAAACTAATCCGCTTTACAAGAACTGCACTTTCGCAAAAATGCATCGGTTTTCGGGGCATACTTTTCAAGGTTTAAGTTCTATCGATGGGACTGAATGATTGTTGTTTTCTTAAAGCCACTCGTATGATCATGACCATGAGATGGGAAGAATTTAGTTTTTCTCAATGCATCTCTTCAGATATGATCCTGCCACTGATCAATGGATGTCTGACGTCGTTCCATGTCCTACTCGTCGATCTGGGCCTGGTGTGGCTGCTCTTAACGACAATATTTATGCGGTAGGCGGCCATGGCGGTCATAGTGGTCAAAGCCTAGACATTGTTGAACGGTAAGGACAAATTTGATCAAATCCCATATAGACCTAATGTCGCGGTGTCGCTTCAGCTATGACGTTCACCGAGATGAGTGGACCTCTGTGGCACCTATGGGATTAAGTCGAGGCTACCATTCTGTCTCCGTGTTAGATGGTTGCCTCTACGTAGTAGGAGGGGATATGTCTGGCACAGATGAAGCTCTAAACTTAGTAGAGAGGTGGGTCAGTTTCAATCTGATGACACGGTGCTGCTTTGAGCAAAGTTCCGAACCATTCAACATCTTCGGCTACTCTTGTGAAAAAATTAGAAAAAGAACCACTCTTTTGAAGTAATTAAAAAAAAGGACCAAAAATCACAATTGTGTCGTACGGTAATTTTAAAACAGCTGCACACGATGCCCATCAATACTGAGCGGTTTAGGTTTCAGAAAATTATCCTTCACTGAGTCCTCGGGGGCTGGTTTTTCATGAGAGCTGGTTTTTTTGTGCCCATAATGGTCCTGTACCGACTTTTTCTTTCTGAGGTCTTCTTGGGATGTGTTGTGAGCAAATGTTAAAATACCTTTGAAACAGCCATAAAAAAAGACTCTCATGCTTCAGGTTTGACCCACGAGTCGGTAGATGGTATGGGGTTGAGGCCAGGTCAACACCTCGGAGACATCATGGTTCTGCAGTGCTCCATGGCGAATTGTATGTTGCGGGTGGATTCAACAGAAATCCAGACTGCTTGAGCTCTGTTGAGAAGTACGACCCCCGAGCTGATAGGTGGACTTCAGTAGCTGATATGAGCTCTAGCCGAGGTCATGTAAGTGCCTTTGTTCCTTTAAATTCTCGTTATCCACTTTTGTCTATGAAAAATTGTGTCGTTTTCAGCTACAACTGGCTGCAGCCAGTGGAAAGTTGTATGCCATTGGTGATGGTGGTGATGGTTCAGTTGAGGTTTTTGATCCTAAGACGAACCAATGGAAGCTCCACAGTAAGATGAACTGCGGGTTAGTTGGTGTCCTCGACCGCACGCCCAGTTTTCACGCTTTTCTCTTAATGCAAACTGTTTTAGTCGTGAATCTTTCGGTGTGGCTGTTCTACAGAAGTCATAGGAATCAAGAAAACAAAACAAAATTTCCTGAATGTGTCGGTATCTTGTTCCTATCTTCGCATTCCTATTAGTCTCGGGAATCGCTCATCATTCATGTTATCGAAATTTGCGAATCATGGACATTTTTGAAATGTTTTTCTTTAAATGAATATTTTTTGTGTAGATTGATTAATAGATTCCAATCAGTATTTCAGAGGCAGGCTCTTTCTTATTCAATGAAAATTTTTAACTTCCAAAGTGGTAAATGTGAACATTTTCATAAAGTAAGGACCTGATGAATGTACAAGGAAGGAAGCGAAAATTCACGCTTCTTCAGACGAATTCCATATGTACCTTCTTATGGAAAAGTCACAGCATTAATGAATGGAGTGATTTTCGTCTGCGGGCGCTTTCCCCTCTATTAGAAGTGGAAGGCCCTTCTGGACCTTTATCCTTTTCACAATTGAGACTCTCAACCTAATTTTGCAAGCCTGGATATCGGAAAAAGTAGGAAACATGTTTCCTGTGAAGTAAATCTTGGGTAGAAGTATCGAGAGGGTTTTCCTTGCTGTCAAGGAACAATTTCGAGGCTCTACTTATGCGTTGTAGCAAAGCGGGTTTTTTTGGCAGAAGCTAAACCCGAGAGAAGGTTTTTGCAGAAGCTGAATGAAGCTGAAGGAAGTTCCTGCATGCTGAGCTCTTCACACACCATTAACTATGCGTATCAGCTCACTGTTTAACTTCAAATTCTCCTTAGAAGTAAAATATGGCCGTTGAGCTCGAGCCAACTTTATTGGCTCAGCGCTCCCACCTATAATTGCTATGCAAAGGATCCGTATTTTCATGCCCTACATCTTGGTTAAGGGGATTATAGTGGGTCTCCATGGATAGAGCTTCTCCCGAGCGAATCCTCACCCCAGCCGTGTACTATAAGGTTGGTGAAGTTAAAAGCGTTGACATGGGCATTGGTTAGTAACAGCAGCATCTTGCATGGTTTTGATAAAGCTGAACTATGACTGCGATGCTGAGTGGCAATAGAAGGCGTGCCACGGACCTTCCAGCCAAGCTTGCTTAACTCGCGATCGTATTGTATCGAGCCACGAATTGTACATGGTGATGAAAAACTACAACTTGTCGAAGCCGCAGCGTTGGACACTCGTCTGTTAGTGAGATCAATGGTCCTGATGCTATCGCGAAATCCGTGTTCGCACATTATGGTGAAGCTGTACCCAAAGCGCTGTACTCCAGGAAGGGAAGTACTTGAAATAAATGTGGCTCCTACAGAATGTCGGTATTGGCCTGTTGGCCACTGCGATCACATAGTTTATTTCGCACCCTTTCCTACCAGTAAGTCCCATAGAATATCGCAGGATCTGACTGATCTTTCAATCTTTCGCCCTTTCCGTGCTGGTTTGCTATCTTGGCGATCCGTTCATATAAGTTCTTATAGACCAATTATCGGTGTCGAGAGTCGTGGAAGTATTTGCAATAGTTACTATTAGGTTGATGCATAATTATTGCGGATTTTTTCGTGGCTTTTTTTCTCACGATAGAATCTGAATATTGAGTTCGGGTTTTTTCTAGAAATGATCTACTTGACTTCCTCTACAAGAATATACTCAAAAAAGCATCCGTATATTCGCGAAATTAGGCTTTACTACTTCGAGAAAAATTGGAAGGTGGCACAGTCATTCCGCGATTCCAGTAACTTTTCGGCGATCGAACAATCAGCCAGAGCCGACCAAGAAATGGGATCTGCCCCTGAATCTGCCATATTCACCAGCAGAAGCTTTGATGGATTATCTCGTCAACCTCTCATCGAAAAAATGACTAGAGAATAGAAGTTACGTCGATTTGGATGACTTGATGGCCGATGTCAAGGCGTGGATCGCCCGTAAGGATCAAAACTTCTTCGCTTTTGGGATCCGACCAACTAATCAATGGGAAGCAGTGCTTGACGTAGATGGTGAATAGGCTCCGGAGTAATTATTTGAATATGTCTTTGCTTCGTATTTCTATAGTTTCTTTGAGTATAAGGTTGGCAAATAAGTCCTGCCACAAAAAATTTGAAGCGTTGAAAATTTGCATAAACCGTGTGAACACGGTAGCAAGGATAATAAACTTGTAGGACATTCCCCGGGCAATCAACACATGAGTGAATAAGGGCACGCGTGTGGGCTTTGACAGCATTACGGTCAATGAATGGACAACACACGATTCGTATCATCACCTTCTGCCAAGCACGCCAAGGAAAAAACTCGGGTGTAGCGGCTCGAAATATCAGCAATCTATTCGAAGCCAGCACTGCTCACCGATCGACGGTCAACAATCGGTTGGATCGCTTCACTGCAGGAGATACTAGCCTTTGGAGTAACGCAAGCATCGTCCTTTAACTCGATGGAAGTCGAAGGAATCCATCCACTGTAAGTTGCTAAACGTGGAGTAGTTGGACACAGCTATCGCCTGCAACTATGATCCCCTTTATTTGGCCAACGGGTTTAGAGGAGGACTATCAGACCGTAAATCAGGTCCCCACAGAGGGACAACGCACGTCGGAAATTCGCTTTAGACTCACGTCAAAAGTTCACCGATCCCGCTTGGTTGCAGCTTACTCATCAGTCGTACTCCCGGAGTGTTCTCCCTTTTAACTACCACGTGCTCCGCCTTTTTGAGCATCCCGCTGTGGAAAAGGAATTTGTAACTTAATGTGATCCAAAAACGGCAGTCAATTATTTCTTTGAGTCACAGCTCCTTCACTCCTGAAGAAACGGCATCAGTGATTGGCTCAAAGGATAAAAGAAGGTTGTTGACTTCTACGGTGAATATTTTTCCGAAAATTGATTGGTATGAAAAAATTTAGAAATGATTTTAAAAAGGTCTCCATTTTGTCGCAGGACTTATTTGCCAACCTAATAAAATTTGCTGGAAAAAAACCCGCAATATTATGCATCAACCTAATATTATATAAGGGTCATGAGTATATCAAAGTATTGGGTAGGACGGGTTATTAAGGGGAAATCAAGTGTCTTCGTCATTGAATGCAAAAATGCTTCGTCATTTCCGATTACAAGAGGCAATAGAGACATGCATCTGCCTTGGTTTCTTCGACGAAAAAACTTTCACGATAGCAGTTCTCACCGGCACTTCTCACCAAAATGATCGCGTTCGGCAAGAAACATTGAAAAAGCTGTCTCGAAGAAAAATCGTCGGAAGAGCAGATAATCCCACTTCAGCAATGGTTTGGAGCAGTGGGAGTGCGCTGTTGGAGTTTGTCGATGTGGTGGAAAAATTAACAATCAAGAAAACATAACAATGTACACGTTAAACCTTGGTCCGGTTCCCACTTCTGGAACCCATCGTGGTTGTTCACTAGGAAAGCGCTTGAACCAACGAACC